TACAGGCATGCGTACCCTTGCCGTCCTCGACCAGGCGTGGCAGATCTGGATATGGGCCGAAATGGCCCAAGATCTCGTCCACCTGTTGAGTGTTTGCAATTACGGTACCTTTCGGGGTACAGAAGGAACGAAGGATTTACAGCAGCTGCTACCAAGAGCATTCCTCATTCGAGCCGTCATCACGCTGGGGCTGCAAGCCTTCTTGATCGAGCTTCTTGATAAACAAACAAAAGGACCCTCTGGCACCAACGCAACTGAGCTGTGTAGGAGGTGGAAGAGCGCGGGAGCTCTGAGCTTCGTTTACATGCGGTGGGGTCGTGCTGGTATCTCACGGCGATAGCACGGCATGCCGAAAAGCTTCTCGGCTAAAGGGCAGCTCTGCGGTACCAGAACATAGGATGACCCGGAGAAATCGAAAACTGCCGTTGGCTGCGAAGCGCTTGCTGACTTCTACTCCAACGATTGACTCAAGGTCTTCGGCGGAAACAGCAGGCCTGAGTAGCTCGTAACAAAGCTGCTGGTAGTGCTTGTGATAAGGGCGACATGAGAATAAATGAGATAGGCCTTACAGAATATCAATCCTGGTGGCTCCTTCTTGCATGTTCCATCCCCACCTCTTCCTGCGAGACGTCGAACAGGTGAATGCGCTGCGTCAGCGTACCCATGGACCTGTGTGCACGACTGCTAGAAGATAGGTTTCCTGTCGGGTGCGGAGAACACTGTGGGTCTGCTCAGTGAACGGTCCAAACCCTAGGAGCTTACTGAGTGGCTTATTTTGGGGGTACCTTATTGAATGGCTGCCTGTATTTTATCCAGAAATTACGAATCGAATATGCCTTTCACAGTTTCCCCATCAAGGCAACAAACAGGAGTTTCCTGAATAGTTGCAGCCCCAACGAGGCAATTGCCTCGAACGTAGCAGCTTGTTCAACACAAGCCTTGACGAAATACCCCTGAGGAAATGTCGGTAAATGGAACACGGACAGATCGGGAGAAAGCTTCGGGTTCTGTTATCGGGTCGTTCAGCTGAGGAAAGTCTTATCAGAACTTGGCCGGCTGTCTCCAAGTTAAGACGTTTTCCGCTTCTGTCTGCGCACGGTGCACTCTCTACTCCAATCCACGCCGAGAGGCTTCTCTAGGCTGTCAGCAGGCTCGAGCCTTCGAGGGGGCAAGGCGAGGCTTAGCGCCGCGGGGCTGTATGCAGCCTTATCATGGCCATGTTGCCCATCACTGCTCTGATGTTTGTTCTCATTGCCCTTGTATCACCACTACAGCTGCTTACGACTCACCTCTCGTGAAGATAGCCTACCATCATGATGTAGGAGTATGAAACGACGAAGATGTGTTCGAAAAACCACTAAAGTTAACCGATCGCCGTCATCAAAGTGAAGTGTGCACGGCAACTTAGCGATGCCAGATCAGCGAAAATTTACGAATTAGATGAACCTGGCGAACCAAAGAAGGGTTCGGGCTTAGCAGATTGGACCTACGGCCGAAAGTGTTGGAGCATGGAGCATTAGAGGGTGTTTCCAGGGACGGATTACTGCCTTGAAAGGCTGCAAGGTGTGGGGAGACAACCTGAGACGCAGCTTAGTACCTCCCCCCCTCCCTGCCCCCCCCCTGGCCCCCCCCTGGCCCCCCCTGCCCCTTCGCTGCCCGCCCGCCCCAGCCGCCCCCCACCCACCCCCCCACCCCCCCGCCCCCCGCAATACCAATGCTGGAGAAAATGACGGTCGCCCGCTTGCGGGTTTGGCATATCATGCCAGATCATCTGCCCCGACGAGGACAGCCAAGAGCACCATGACTCCATGGTGCCAAGCATGTTAATTCACAGGCAATTGCCACGGCCCATATAACTACCATAACTACCTCAAGTCCTAACTGCAAAACTCGTGTCGCATGCTGCCGTGTTTGTTTCTGGTCTGCTGGAAGTCCTGGCCTCTCATAGATCACCGACTTCTTGTTCGGCGGAGGCTGGTCCTGGCAGACACCAAGCATTTGCACAGTCCGAAAGGATGTGCGTTCTTGGAACTTCAGGGGTTTGGATGCAGAACCATTTGGTACTGGGGAGCCTGGGGTTGGAAGCAACAATAAATCAGGACATCACTAAGCAGAAACTGCACAGCATCCCGGGCAGGAAATCAACCCGGGGGCAAGTATGAGCAGTCTCAAGTGCTGGCCGGATCAGTAGAGCCCCACTTTGGCGCAGTAGCGAACTGCAAAGGCTGAGAAAACATCCAGAAGAGAAGAAAGCAAAGAATGTACTCGACAACAGCATGCCTGGCCTGATCGTGGCGATAACAGTCAGATAAGGAACACGAAAAAGGAAGTGACGTTGGTGGTAAGCCCGCATCAATACATCATAACCATGCTTCAAATATGATTACGGTCAGTCCACTTCTCCTATTGAAGATTGTAATACCATGTGACAGCGACAGCAAAGGTAGCGGTACCGGACGTAACTAGTAACAGCACGAAAAGGATATCGCGCATTACAATAGCAGCTTTAATCACAAGGGGCCAGGCCAGGCAGTCAGTAGCAAGGGCAGTGGGCAAGGTGATTGCTCGTTATGCATTTTGCAGCTGCCGGTGGTGGTCGATGGTAGCAGTGCTGGTGGGGGTGTGGTGGGTGAGATGGTGGCGGTGGTGGTGGCGGCAAAATAGTCACCGTTAACATAGTACCTAGTAACATAGATGAATTGCCAAGCGCATCGACAGATTCATCGCCCAGCCAATCAATCGTTCAAGAAGGAACAACCTGTGCTCAAGATATCCAGGAAAGCACAGTGCACAATAAATGCAATGATCACGGATGCTAAACCGACAAGCAGCAAGCCCTGAACATGGTAGCCTTCGGAAACAACGGGCGCAACACTGCCTCGATGTGATACTCCAAATTCGTGGTCGGATCGATCCCTGAGTAGCTAAGCTTTGGAGGCCCTCTCTGTCGGATATCACAAGGGTAACACGATTACCCCAATCCAGAGCCCTTTAAGGATTAGAACAGAAGCTGTACCCACCCATGTGGGGTCTAAGCTTGGACCAACGAATCCATCTTGGGCCAGGGAAGAAACGATGTTTTCAGATCTTAGCGGTTTTGGAAGGGTCATATTAATTTCAGAAAACTTGGCCGTGGATAGTTTCTGTAGTCACCCTGTACAAAGAGCCCTTGGGGCAGACAATTGCCGATGATCACAATCTGAGATTGCCTTCTCTCTGTGTCGGTTCCAGAATCAGCAGCAATAACTTCACTTACCATGCGACTACTGCAACATCTGCATTCTGGATTCGACGCTTGCAGGCGTACAATCAGCAACGGCATGGAGAAACTGCGCAGCAGACCTGAGAGCTCTGTAAGCACTTAAGAAGTAACAGCTCTAGTCGCAGTAGCAATCACAGCCACATCATTAGTAACCCGACAGCTTTTCGCAGCTGAGGGTGATGTCGTCAAGTCGTGGTGATCTTGTCACCAGTAGCACTGCAATTTTGTTGTATTTTGATAGTTCAAGGTGAGAAAGCTAAAGTACTGAAGCCTGAAAGGCCCTGAAACATCTGGGGGCCCCCGGCGCCGGCCGCAAGCGCGCCGAACCGACTCGTTCAGTGAAAGGTCCAGGCGGAAGTGGAGGTCGTAGCCTGGCAAAGACTTCGGGCAAAGGACCGTCAGAGATTTGGGGCTTGACGGCTTTCGGGTTAATGGGTTTACTGGGAGGTTTGTAGTTTAACTGGCAACTTGGAACAACATCTACCACAACGACTGCGTGCAAGTTGCAGGGATTCAATCCTCACAACGGGAGGAACTCGGTTGCTGCCTGATGCTGAAGCACTGACAGGCGGAGAGGACTTGAACTTGAGCTGGAGCATCTGATGCTTACAATCTGAATAGCCGAAACAAGCCTGCTGACTGCCAGCCCTACTGAAGTCCGGTGGGACAACTGCAGTTGAGGGTCGTCGACCGACGGGGCGGGCGTCTGTGTGAGCCCTGTTTGCGTTTCTGCGGGCTATGTGTACTCTGAGGTTCCCGGCAAGTCTGCCTTCATGCTCAGCATGATGCTCAGTCATGATGCTCTAGAGCCGAAGCCCGGCCTCCAGGTTGCCTCACGGCCTCGACGGGCTCCTGATCAAAATCTCCCAAGGCTTCTTAGAGCAGTCAAAAGGTTTCTGACCGCTGCGCCTCAGGAGGTCGAGGTGCGATGATCTCGGCCTGCAAATCAAAGGGTTGGGCCCCGGGCGTGAGATTCGGTGACTATAGTCATAGTCGCATTGATCTGCCACGCGCTCTCTGATTCTCTCTACGGGTCCTCTAGTCTTGAGTTCCGGCTTCCAAAGGCCTCCTTCCTGAGCTCGTAGGCCTTCGGTGTGGGCTGGGCCTGGAACGGAGAGTGACCGGCAACGTCGTGTGTGACGCTTTGTGCTGGAGACCGTCAAGAGTATCAGATGGCTTTAAAGCTTAAGGTTTGGGGTAGTTTTGGGTACTTGGGGTTTCGAGAGCATTTATGCACGGCCATAGACTGGACTAGTTGGACAGGTGTTCCGCTGGGACTCTGCAGTCAATCGGCAAAAGGCTGATCACAATTAATGGATTTCGGCAATCCCTGCCGATCCAAAATCTGATGCACAGACTGATCCTTACATATTAAACAGTCTGCGATCTGTATGTATAGCAAACGCGTGTACATCTCTCCCTCTGTCTGTACATTGTATATATATATATATATATATATATATATATATATATACACATATGTAGGGTTTGGATCGAGCGCCCATCGGCAAAGGGCCGCATTGCCAATTCCCCAGTGCGCAAGGCCGCACGTCGTCTTCCCGCCATAGCGAAACACCCGGTGTCCCCAAACTGGCATCGTGTGGCACGGCGGCAACGAGCCAAGGCAAGAAAGAGGATACAATCTGCACGGCTACGCCTTGTAGCCCCTCCTGCCAGGGACATCTGCTTCCTAGCTGAACACCACAGCCGACCCCAATATCGCGAAGTTGCCAACCCCATGGGCAAAGCGGGTAAATGGGGTGCAGGATGGAAGACAAAAACAGCCAAGCAGGACGCTGCAGATTGGGGCGACTACCGTGGCTCAGGCTCGGACTACTATGGGCGCTGGTCAAAATGGGGCCAGGAACCCTCGAGCTCCGCCTTCCCTACCTACGAGATGATGAACATCGAGGTCCCCAAGGACAACCAAGAGGCACTGCAAACGATCCAAGGGCCAGGCGATTTGGCCAAGTTCGTTCAGAAGGCAGTGAACAATATCCGTCGTGCAGAGCAAAGGGCCAGGAAGCATGCAGCCGAGCAGAAGCAGACGGACGAAAAATGGGAACAGTTCCAAAAGGAGCTGAAGACCTCATTCATGAAGGAGAGGGCGCGATACAAGGACAAGAGCGAGCACCTCCAGCAGGAGAAGGCCGAGATCCGGGAGGCCCAGGAGACGGCGATCGCAGAGCTCTACAAATTGCTCGCGGACCCCCAGGAGTACACGAAGGCCCCTACCACCAAGCCGCCACCCCAGGAGGCACAGGACGAATGGGACAAGCTGATGGCGGAACCAGATCAAGACGCGGATATGGGGTTATCAGGCTTGTTGGCCGGAGCACTGGGAGATTCCGCCCTTCGAGACAAAGCCCGCCGTCAGATGCTTGCCGTCCTGGAACACCATCAAAACCGAGGGCGAGACCAGACCCCCCCAAAAAAAGCCTGCCAGCCACCCGCCTATGACTCCGCCAGCATCGGAAGGAGGGCGGAGAGCAAAGGGCCCGGTCTTGGATGCGGCCCCTGGTGTCCCAGATCAAGCTGTGGAGGCAGCGGCTCGCGACCCGTACATGGGCTCCCCCTCTCTCAACAACCTACTCCCGTCCCCGAGCTCTACGGCTCCGCGACCACGATCCCAGGCTACCAGAACTCCGATCAAGGCTCAGGGCAGAAAGCCAGCAACTGCCCCGGCTTCAGCTGCCAGCCTGGCGAGCAAGCTGGACGCAAGCCGTGCTGCGATGATGGCGGAGGCGGCCATGGGAACCCACGGTGGCAACGAGGACGGCGACAGCGACGAGGAAATCCCCATTGGCAACTTGAGAGCAGCCACGGGCCCGCCGCCGGAGATTGTCGTCGACTAACACAGCAAGACCAGTGGTCAGTTTCTGCCGAACTACCTGACCACTGGAGTGATGAGATCCAGTTCGGCCCCTATGAGGATGAGGATGAGCACATCAAGACGATTGGTGCTCATGGCCTATGTGAGAGGCTTTTTCGGTCCGTCCTCTCAGGCCCAAATGCATGTCAACTTCGACCTCCCATATGGAGGTCTCTATCTCCATGGGACCCGCGAACCTTCGCTTTGGTGGGTCCACTGGATCTACATCGGGTCTTTCCACCTCGTGATGATGTGGGCCCTCAAGCACAACGTTGGTGGAGCATCCTTGAGGTTCACTTCGCTCTGATCGACTGGTTGTGGCGGAGCATGGGAACCGCTCTGCCCTTCCTTGGCAGTATGGGACGAGCTGTGGCATTGCCATTCTTCTTCATCTTGGCGGTGGCCGAGATGATGGTTCTCCTGGCCCAGATCAGATGGTCACGGCCCTTTGCTACAACAAGGAGAGGAGGATACACTCCCACTCCGAGCTGGCCCCGTCTCCTCCTACCGTTCGCCCTTTGTGCAGTCCGGGCGTCAGCTGGGCTGCCACACCAACCCAGACAGGAGTTCTGGCCACTGCTCCGAATGCCGCCACCGACTGATGTCGAGCTATGGATGGCTGGGCAAAATACCGTATCGGAACAGTTGGCACTGGCCCTCCAACGGGTCATCCTTGAGCGCCCCCTGATGAGCCAGGGGCTGTGGCCTGAACATCTACATGGAACAGGGCCCAGCCATGTGCCTGAACCTCCCCCTCCTCGGGAAATAGTGCAGGAGGAACCAGCGCCCTGGCTTTTTGATGACGAAGAGGAGGACACCACGCACATCTCCTTTCGCTTGCTTTCCCCCCACTTCGAGTCGGAGTCCCTCGACATTGCGATGACCTTCCCGCTTGTCGCCGAGGACGTTCTCGATTACCTCAAGGACACGGCTCGGGTTATCACGCGAAGATGGCTTACAGGTGCTGTTTTCACTCAGCCCCAACTCAGTGAGGATTACGGGAGTGTGATCATCACTCCCTGTTGGCTGCGGGAGTCCGACCAAACCATCATGGTCATTGACGCCAGTGCAATTGATCAGGGTCAATTCGCCTTCTACCACCGTGGCGACCTCACCAGAGAGGCGGTGCTCCAGCAGCTTGACATTGTTCCAGCTCAGGACGTTGAGATCTATGCCTTCGGGAGCACCGCACCAATGAGGACAACGGAGCCAATCCCCTCTACCCTGGGTGGACTCATTCGAATCCTGCCTCAAGAACAGCCTATACAATGGGCTAGCAGGATTGAGGCTCGTTTAAACTTCCCGATGAACTGGGACCCGGACGCCCCGCATCCCGATCATCTGGGAGGTTCACACATAGCCTTCCAGACGGCCACCGACCAGAAGCTGCACAATGTCCGGCGGGACGACCTCTTCACCCCTCTGGGGGTGGCCAGCGAGCTTTTCAACCGAGAACAGCAGCAAATCTGGGTGAGAGCGCCAACCCTGAGGCCGAAGGGGCTATACTGGAAGGGACGGCGAGTGCACTCAATCATCGCCGTTGTTGACGCATTCGAGCACCCGCCCCGACACCCTATGGCCGATTTGGGTTGCCCTTCAGCAGGACTGCTTCTTTCCGGGGGATGTCATTGAGGCTCTCGACATCACCTTCTGCCCTGGCTTCTCATTGGTCGTCACGGGTGGGAGAAAAGGCCGTTCCCCAGGACTCCTCTACATCCGAGACGGTGACCTATTAGAGGCTTTCCTCCGACCTACTGCAGATCTCACCCCGACTCAGGTCGAAGAAGATGAGAGCTCAGATGGCAACGATGAAGGGGAAGACCCGGACGATGGCACCGATTCTACCAGGGATATGCTCCCGTCATCGGACGAGTTCTCGGATGCACAGCCACCAACAGGACCAGGCCCATTCGGGCCACCGCCACCACGGCCGGTGAACCGGCCACCCAGCCGTACCCCGCCACGGCGTAATCGACACAAGCACAACCTGGTAAGGACTATTGCACTGCAGGAGTACCTCTCAGACCCCTCTCCGGCTGAGCACTACAGCCTCTCCATGCAGACGGTGACCCTCCCGCAGGCGAAGTTCGACCCGCTTGTTGTCTACCGGCCTTGGCCCCCACATTGGCTTCAATTTGACCCCACAGCACTCAACCTACCGCAGTGCACCGTCCAGGCCTTACAAGGGTTCTGGCCTTGGACCACTGTGTTGAAACAAGGTGCAGATCAAGAAAATCTTTGTCTCCGCCTATACACAGATGGATCCTGGTTGGAAGCATCGAGCTGTGGAGGCTTTGCTATTATCCTGGTCTTGGAGTCAGGGCAGCACAGCTCCTTCTTTGGGGCCGTTGGCTCGCAAACGCAAGGGAAGCCTGATTCTTTGTGGAATCACCCTGGCCCACCGGCCCTGAGAAATGAACAATATGCTCTGGCCAGCGCAATGCTATGGGTTTTCCAATCCCTGCCCTTCCTTGCCTTTAAGGCAGTGACCTTCTGCTTTGATTGTCTAGCTGCCGGTCTGGCAGCCAGTGGCGCCTGGACTCCTGACGGCGCCCTGATGCAGCGCATTCGGGATCTTCAAGTCTGGCTGGAACAGGTAGCCGGGGCCACAATTGCATTCGAGCATGTGAAGGCCCACAGTGGGCACCCAATGAACGAGATGGCCAATCAGGCCGCCAAAGCAGCAGCTCGAGGCCAGCTGCAAGCTTATGAGCCTCCCTTCGAAGTCGTCCAACTGATCATGCAGGAGGATTTGTCTTGGATTGCACCTTCGTTGAACCCAAGCCAGCAAGACGCCATCCCTTTTGCCAGAGGGGGGACCTTACAATGGGAGCCTGATATGCCCTTCAAGCCCTTCCAGCTCGAGGTCGAACACCTGGTCCCTACTTTCACAAAGCAGGTTGGAAGGCAATCCTCCTCTATGACGCAGGTTGAATGTGTTGCAATCTCCCTGAATGTGCAAGGCCTCCGCGACAAGCATCGCTACCTTGAGGACCAGTTTGACATGGAAAACTGCAACCTGGTGTTCCTGCAGGAAACAAAGTCGCCCATGGGCGTCTGCGCCTCCCAGGCCTACCTCCGGCTTGGCACTGATCATCAAAAGCACTGGGGTGTCGGAATATGGGTCAGTCGGACAAGAGGACTTTTCATGTCTGAGGGCTCCCCAATCCACATCACGGAACAAGATGTTTATGTTGTACAAGAAAGCCCGAGGCTGCTTGTCCTGGAGATCACGACTGCGGGAATCCGTTTCGTACTTTTCGCTGGCCACTGCCCGCACACTGGGCAAAGAGCTGCTGCAGCGCAGTTCATTACGGATCTGCATGACGCCCTCTACCCGCTACGTGGAGCCCATGTGATACTTGGTGGCTTGGACCTGAATGGCCGACCGCCTAGTGACTTCGAGCAGGTGACTGGAAACCTACAACACGGTGACCCTGACGACACAGGCAGGGAAGCTGTCGAGGCATTCCACGACCTGGGATTGTGGATTCCTAGTACGTTCTCCTGTTTCCACAAAGGGGACTCTTTCACATACCGCCATCCGCAGGGACAGCTCCATCGACTCGACTTTGTGGTGCAGGGGGGCAAGTTGGAAGTTTGTCAAGCTGCCAGTGCTGTGCTCTATGACCTTGACACAGGAGGAGCCTCTGATGATCACTGGGCGGTCCGAGCCCATTTCCAGGGGACCCTCCCACAAACTGGAGCACAGACCAAGATCTGGCGACCCCAGTATGACAGAGTCAAACTGTTGAGTGAGGCGGGAAGGAAAATTGTGGCTGAGGCTATGCAGGCCTACCAGCCGCCTTCCTGGAACACCAACCCTGACGAACACTGCTGCCATTTCACGTCCTATGTGCAGGCGCTCCTTGAAAAGCATTTCATGAAGCAGCCACATGCACCTAGAGCTGACTACATTACGGAGCAGACCTGGCAACTCCGAAGGGCCAAACTTTCTCTCAAACGCAAGACGCGTCACCGCAGCAACCTTTGGAGCAGTCTCCTGGTCAGAGCCTTCATGCAATGGCGAGAAGGTATAGATGTTGGCGTCACTCAGCTGATCGTCACGCATGGGCTCCTCTACCAGCTGGCCTCCACTGCCATTGGTGTTGCTACTGCGGCCATCAAGAAGGGCATCAGGAAGGCAAAGGATGGCTATCTCCGCAACGTTGCCAGTCAGGGAGGCCCCCGTCCCACTGACATCCTTTGCCATCTCAAACGAGCTGGTTTGGGTGGAGCTAAAACTCGTCCAACACAACGACAGCTACCACTCCTGCTCGATGCTGACGGCCAGCCAGTCAAGACCAAAAAGGACAGGGACCTGCTTTGGCTGAAACACTTTGGAAAGCAAGAAATGGGGCAGATCGAAGAGGTCCATGCCTTCCTGCAACGAGAACACCAGCCTGTATGCATCGATCAGGACCTCACTTGGCGGGCTGACGACTTACCGAGCCTTGGGGAAATCGAGGCGGTGATAAGAATGGCGCCCAAAGGGAAAGCTGCAGGACTGGACGGCATACCGTCCGAAGCGCTGAGGGCGGCCCCAGGGCCCATGGCGGCGGCGCTACAGTCTCTCTTCACAAAAGCCTCGCTGAGGTTGAGGCAGCCTCTCCAGTGGAGAGGAGGATTGTTGTATGAATGCTGGAAGCAGAGCGGCCGTAGATGTGACCCGACGTCGCATCGGAGCCTTTTTGTTTCCTCAGTGGTGGGGAAGTGCCTGCACAAGCTCACCCGGCGCAAGATCCAGAGCTTCGTCAACGAAGGGCTCCATGAATTTCACCTGGGGGCTCGGCGGGGGCAGCCTGTCCTCTACCCGGCGGCCTACATACTCTCCTTCCTTCGGCGTGCCCAGGCTCAACACCGGTCGGTGGGAGTATTGTTCTTGGATGCCGAGGCTGCGTACTACAGAATATGCAGGGACCTCGCCACTGGCACCATTGAAACCGATGAGGCCGTCATCGCCATCTTCAAGCGATTCCACATCCCCCCGACGGACCTCCACATGCTTATGCAGGAGGTCTTAGAAGGAGGAATGATGGCGGATATAGGCGTCCCGGCCACGATCCGGCATATGGCCAAAGATCTCCATGCCAACACTTGGTTCATCTCCCCCCATGGGGATGGGACCCTGCTCTCCCGCACTTGTGCGGGGAGCAGGCCAGGAGAGAGCTGGGCGGACGCTATATTCAGCTTCGTGTTTGGGAGGGTCCTGGCCCGCATCACCGAGATCGCAAGGGGTGAGGACCTTTTGGACACCCTCCACGCGGACATGGCCGAGGGGCCATTCGCCACAGCTGAAGGAGATGAAGAGGCATGTGCCAGTGATGCGACTTGGGCTGACGATAGCTCCTGGGCTATCACGGATGCCTCTCCAGTGAGGCTGATGGCTAAGGCAACCAGACTCTGCTCGGTTGTTCTAGGCCAATGTCAAAGCTATGGCCTGGCCCCAAACCTGAAGCCAGGCAAGACAGCGATCTTGATCAGGCTGCAAGGCCAAGGTGCCAAGCATGCCCAAAGACAACACTTCGGCCACGGCAGAAGGTCTGTGCGTCTGGCCGATGTGGCCGTGGAGGTCGAGGTGACCAACCACTACAAACATCTTGGTGGGGTTGTCGAAACAAAGGGCTACGGTGGATGCGAAGCCAGACGGAGGCTGGCTATTGCGGCTACAGCCTTTGACAAGGGCAAGGACTTGCTCTACCAGAACACCACTATCCCATTGGCGACCCGATCCTCGTTGATGCACATTGCGGTCACGGCAACACTGCACAACCTAGCTCTGTGGATACCGGAGGGCTCCCAATGGGAAAAACTGTGTCAAGGCTACGCGAGATTGGCTCGAAGGCTCCTTATGAAAGAGATCAACCCGGGCGACCTCCTGCACATCCCGCCCGTCTTTGCGATTGTGGCCACAGACTCCCCCCCGCTCGACCTTCTTGCCACCAAGGCCAGACTCTCGTTCATGGCATCCATGGCGAAGGCTGCCCCGGTTGCGCTTTGGGCAGCGCTACAAGCTGAAGGGAGCTGGCTGGGGGCCCTCCGAAAAGACATGGCCTGGTTGCGAGATGGAGATGAAGATCAATGGCCGAACATCGGCCCTGCCTACTGGCCGGCATGGAGAAGAATGCTTTGTGAAGCAAAGCCATGGTTTAAACGGCAAGTAGCCAAAAAGGTTGCCAAGGCTTCCATTGCGTACTACAAGAAGCAGAAAATGGCTCTCACCTTGTGGGCCCTCTACCGGCGTGCCGTCGAATACTTGCCCACGGAGGGGACGCCAACTACTCAACATGTATGCCGACCATGCTCGCGCACCTTCAAGACGAAGGGGGCCCTGGGAGCTCACTTCCAGAAGACCCACAGCAGATGTGCGAAATATCGTGCTGTGGTGGAAGGGTCGATCTGCAAATCTTGTGGGGTCCAGTTCTGGACTGAAGGGCGCCTGGCCCGGCACCTGAGGGATACGCCACAGTGTGTGGCAACATTGAGAGCATGTGGCTACACGGCCAAGGTGATTGTCCCAGGGACGGGCAGCAGGGCACGGCGCAAGGCTGAACTGGACGGGTACCATCCGGCCCCACCAACACAGCTTTGCGAACCTGCGGAGGCCGGTGCTTCATCTGACTGGGACCAGACCCAGAAGGAAGCTCATGCCAAGTTATGTGATGTCCTGCTGGTCGAGAATCCTGCGGCCGACCAAGCTGAGGCGTTGGAAATCATCAGAGGGAACATCGCGCTTTTCCCCCTCTACTTTGACGAAGCCAGAGAAGTTGTGGGAAAGATCCTCGAGGAGATCGACTCGGTTGCGAATGACCTACTTGATGACTACTGGACACCGTCCGCCTTACGGGACATCCGGCAGGCTGCGGAAACCTTTTTAGCCGATGATTGGCCGATCGGCGATGAGTGTGAGGGGCCTAGAAAGCCCCCGGCCACTTTTGAGGCACTCAACGGCGAGGTTGAGAAGCTCAAATGGACAGATGTGGTGCGAAGGATCCGAAGCCTTCACGGGACCCGGCGAACTTCAGCGTGGACGCTACCTTCTGACTGGGAAGCCGAGTGGTGGAAGTGTAGTGCTGTAGTTAGCTCCTCGGCCGTGAAGGAGAGACTGTGGTGCTGGGTACCAGTTGCCCTGCAGCAGGCTTGGGACCATTTCCTCAATGGAGGAGAGGTGACCCTTCTCTGCCCTGATAGTTTCTGGAACAGCCCACTAGCGGAACCGTTCCTTTCTTTCCGCTCTTTGCATACTAATTAAGCTGCGTACAACCGCTGAAGGCCCGCAAAGCAAATACACATATGTATATGCCCGTGTATGTATGCACACACCCACACACATCTCTCTTTCTCTCTCTCCGTTCTCTGCATTGCCAGAGATACCGATAGAATTACCTATGCATGTATACAATCTTGTATTATCGTGTATTTACATGTCGATGTTCTTTGGTGCGTCCATCTATCGCTCGCTCGTCTCCCACTGTCACTGTCACTCTCACTATCACTCTCGCTGTCGATGGCTCTCTCTCTCTCTCTCGCTCTCGCTTTCTCTGCTTGCTTTTTCCTACTGCTCGGTCGCTCCATGTCATGTCTGATCTTGTCCTGGCCTGTCCACCTTTCCCTGGATGTGAACACATGCGTACGCATGTGTGTCCGCAGGCCTCTAGAAACACGGGCACATACATACGCAGTTGCATTATCCCCCTCCACGCAGTTTTCGGTTGGGGCTCAGGTCTGCAGATAGCAGACCCACGCACCCAAGCATGTCTTATCGACAAAAACGCCACCTCCGTGAATGAAGAGGCAACGCAAGTGTCAGGCAACTCTGAAGTGAAGAAGCCTCGCCAGAAACCCCCTGCCAGCCGAATTTCCATGCCCCCCCACCCCCCGCCCTCTCTCCATCACGCACTGGGCACCTGTGGCCGGACGAAGCCACTGAGGAAACGCTCCAGGAGCGCCAACTGCGACGTTGACACTTACGACTCCACTTTAGCTCTTCCCAGTGACTCTGAGGAAATGTGTGCAGATAGTAATCCTTGCTTGATTTGCCTAACTAATTGATGAACGATGCACTTTTCTGATTTTGAGAGAAGAACTTGTCACGAAGATGCCACAGGCCTCAACACGCTGCAGGGCAACATCTTCTTGGACTTCCTATCTGAAATTTGATTCTGGTGATTCCCGTGATGGGCATGTGAGTTTATTCAATACCTCTTATGTGACTCTTACCGGTTTTGTGGCATCATTGCTGCATTCGCAACTAAAACCTTCAAGCTTTGATAAACTTTACACAGCTCTTTGCTTGAAGTGCTTATTACGGACCGCAGAATCCTGGTTTAGGAGGTTCAGTTAATTTGTCTTCACACGTTTCAAGGTTTATGCTGCTTTGCTTCACGGCAACGTAACAGTCGCCTGTGCAGCTTTCATGCGTTTACGTGCCTTCTCCTGTCTAAGACCTAGCCCCATTCACCATCAGCCCTGACCGTCGTCAATAGTCAGGGACCCAACTTCTCGAAAGCGATAGTGCCGGACCCTGACAGCATCGTCGGGGAAGCCCAGCAGAATCCTGAACCAGGAAAGAGCTGAAATTAAACGGCCCAGAGCTTGCAATTTGGTCTTGGGGCCTTCTGGACTTCTCATCTTCGGCACCCGGCTTTTCGGTTGTTTGGGAAATCTTTCAGGGATCGAACTGACAGGAGAAGCACGGCTGCAGGATAGGCTCGTAGGGCTGTACGAGAGGGCTGGGCCCTCAGCATGGCAGGTAGTTACATGTTGCAGGGCGAGAAAACTGTCCCTCACACCGCCGGACAAGGAAAATCGACGACAACAGAAGCTTACATAACGGTTCTTGTCGTCTCAGCAGCAACAGCTGTCGTCGAAGTGATACTAGTAGTAGTAGTCGTCGTCGTCGCCGACAACGTGGTCGTAGTCGCAGTCGCGGTCGTGGTTGAACTACTTTAACTGCAGTACTACTAGCTGGGCCTAAGAGTAACCTAGGAATAAAACGGGTGCCCTTTTTGGTTTGAAGGGGCTAATAAGGGAACCTGAACCCTAAAAAAGGGAATAAGGGCCTACTCTGGGTCCTAGCTAGTCCGCTAAATTAATGGTGCTGGTTTGGGAGCAGTCGTCGTCGTCGTCGTGGTCGTCGCAGTGGTAATGGTGGTGGTAGTGGTAGTGGTAGTGGTAGTGGTAGTGGTAGTGGTAGCGGTAGCGGTAGCGGTAGCGGTAGCGGTAGCGGTAGCGGTAGCGGTAGCGGTAGCAGTAGCGGTAGCGGTAGCGGTAGCGGTAGCGGTAGCGGTAGCGGTAGCGGTAGCGGTGGCGGTGGCGGTGGCGGTGGCGGTGGCGGTGGCGGTGGCGGTAGCCGAAACCCTGCACTGCCATCGAGCGTCCACCCGCGCGGTGTCAACAAAGGATCACCGGCATCGCCTGCAAGAAGTGCCAAACAGTTCGGCGCTATTTCGGAAGACTGACATGTGATAAAGACTCTTCACCTAATCATGAACAACCTCTGCTCAATAGCTTTCTCGGACCGACGCGGGGAGCTGACACAGCAAAAGGCAGTCCTGTCGGGTTCCAAAACCCTGCAGTAGAAGCTGCCGAAGGAAGCCCCCAAACAATGTCAACATGTCCCCCTTCAAACTACACAACCCCAACCTACGTAGCTTTCCCAAAATAGATGACAAATGACGTCGCTGGTAAGCTATTAATGGCAGTCCGATCCAGTCATACAGTTCTCTCAGAGGGCAGTCGACGCAAAGCACTTTGCGACGCGGTTTTCGTGGAGCATCTCCTTCTCTCCCTTTGCATTTTCCAAGAGAGCATATGTGTACAACTCTTCATGCAACTAGAAGTGATACTCTAGCGATGACTGTAGCTACTGTTGTTTACAGTGTGTTAGAGAGGCTTCATTCGAGCCGTTTCTCCGTTCTCGAATTCCAGAATCTCGGGAACGACTACCCGAAGGCTACCATTGTGCACCATAGGTAGGCCCAGTCAGGTTGTCAGAAGTGATGACACCATGACACCCTCGATTCCACTGCGTGTTCTTCCTGTGCTTTCAATTGCTCAGCACTGCTCGATCGAGAAGCTTTGGGCTTGTGACAGCCATTCATGATTGATCCCGCTCATTGCCTCCACGATGTCCGCGGCAGCATTCGCATCGCAGGAGCCAATCACTTCTTGCCGATGCCACTCGCAGTTGTTTCTTGCGTAGACCGTGATCTTGGCTTTGTTGCCGGTCACTGCGAAGGAAGGATTCATCTTCAGGACTTCGGCTGGGACTTTGTGGCATCTGTTCAGCTTGCCAAAGCCAGCAAAGCCACCGAAGACGACCTCCCCGGCCACCCTCACCTCCGACTCCCCGAAATCGATCGTCGCCGCTTGCGACCACGAGGAATCGGATTTCGGGGAGAACCAGACGAAGGCTGCAAGGGCCAAAGTCAGGCTAAGGGCTAAGAGCGCACGGCCTTGAAAGTCCGGTCGCAGAGGAGGCGGTGTCATGGCCTCTGCCAAGACCAGAGAACGACTGGCAGGATCCGGCTGAGTGTTCGACATCGCTCCTAAAATCTCCTAAAGCAGCTTTGGCTCTAGGACTTGCAAACTGCTGAGCCGGAACATCTCCGAAACACAACGCTGCGAAGTGATTGTTCCTCTCAGCAGGCGCCCAACTGACCAGTCTTGAATCTCCCTGTCCCGGCCTTGCTCGCCGATCTCTCCTCGCGCGAATCTAAATCTCAAACTTCAATCGGGGCAAAAGCTGGGGAGCGCATGGGAATAAACCGATATTCCTTGATTCTGAGGGTCCTCAACCAAACAAGCTCCTTCTCCTTAGGCTGGTATCTTCGGCGAAGTCCCAACTTGAGCAGGTCTGGTGCATGCTTCCTTCTGCATCAGGGAACTGCGGACGAGAGTGTCGAGACAACAGTCGCCGCAGTATGAGTCTATGATCACACCTGTTTCGTGTGGCGGTTGATCCAGCTGAAACTCGGCGGAAAGCCAGCTCGAGAAACGAAGACGTGTTACAGTGTTCGTTGTGCATGAACCGAAGCTTGAATTGTTAGGATGTACATGGAGGCAAGAGTACTGCAACAAGACGTTAACATGATGTAATACTCCGCGAGTCACTATTTAAAGCGAAGGTCCCTTGGTTGGATGCTATCTGAGGAAAGCTCCCGATCATAACTTAAACGCCTTTGCAGGAGCCAGGTGGATGCGACATTTCCAACCTCATTCGCGCATTGCACTCCTCCTCCGCCTGTCGCACCCTCAGCTGGCTCGTCGGCGACGCCAGCCTTCAGCAGGAGTAAAGCATTTGCTCCTGTTGCTCTGACTGTTGCTACCCTCAATGTTGTAGCAGCAGCACTGGTTCCTGCATTTAAGGCTCTTGTTCGGTTGACGCAGTCTTGAAGTCGGCCGGTAAGCCCTTTGTGCATCGGGGGGGAGTCGACGGGTGATGATCCGACAGCCATGCCAAACGCAGGGGACCAACCGCACACACAGAGCACCCACTCGCATCCTAATTTTGTGACCTGCCTCCTCTCCGGGGGCTGCTGCCACGTCCCCTTCTGGCGCGGCCTCCTTTGGCAAGTGGAGAAGCTTCTTCGATGGACTTCGACGTGGCCAGAATGGACCGAAGCACACAAACCGGGGCGCCCAACAACTCGAAGCCCCGTCCTCCGAACCCACACGGTCCTACTGTCCACACTTCTGTTCGCACAGGCCCGACTTTCGGCCCTAGGCCTGCCATGCGAAGACTTGACTTCCCAACCCCAACAACCCTACATGTAAGGTCCTTTGGTTGCTCCGCAGGGTCTGCAGGCACCTGACACGTCATGTGAGAAGTGGAAGTCATGATGATCCGAGGCAGGAGGAGCAGATGGGGATAACGACGTTGATGATGATGATGATAACGTTGGTGCTGGTGCTGATGGCGATGATGGTGATGGTGTGGTCGATACCATGATGCATTGTTAGTCAGTGGGATGCTCAACATTCCCATGTTGATGATGGCCTGTGTTCTCCAGTCGCATGTTTGCTTGCAACTTTTGCTGGCTCCTTGTTCCAGAAAACCACAGGTGTAAGTTTGATCCAAGACCGTGTCCAACTTCGCTGACCAGTCCCACTTTGTTCGATCAGGCATTTCGAACCAAACTCTGACAGAAAGGACTCTGTTTAGATGGCGCCTCAGTAGCCTCCGCTGCTGCAGCAGCTGCAGCCTTTCATCATGTCTCGAGGCGACTTGGATGACCGTGGAGATGCAGTAAACAAAGGGTCAGCAGCAGCGTTGATGATGACTCCAGGAGCAGCAGCAGCAGCAGCAGCAGTAGGTAGCGTATCGTCGGATTCGATAGCAGTCAGTCGTAGTGGTAGTAGCTGCCGTCAGTAATTGCCTGCTACTGCTGCTGATCCTACTGCTACTGCTCCTCCTGCTGCTACTACTGCCACCATCACCACCACCACCTATTATCGGCACTACTCCTGCTGCTGCATCTGCTGCTACTGCTACAGCTGAAGTTACAGCTACAATACAATTACTCCTAGTCCTGCTCCTACTCCTACTCCTACCCCTACTCCTACTCGCACTACACTACTCCTACTCCTACTGCTGCTGCTACTGCTGCTGCTGCTACTGCTACCGCTACCGCTACCGCTACTAGTACTACTACTGCTGGTACTACTACTACTACTACTACTACTACTGCTACTACTACTACTACTACTACTACTACTACTACTACTACTGCTACTGCTACTACTACTACTACTACTACTACTACTACTGCTACTACTACTACTACCACCACCACCACTATTACTACTCCAACTGCTACTGCTACTGCGACTGCTACTGCGACTGCTACCACTGCCACCACTACTGCCACCAACACCGCCACCACTACGACGAACCACCGACTGTTAAATACTTCGCTGGTAGCTACCAGCTACACTACTACTACCACTACCACCACCACCACCACTACTACCACCACTACTACGACGACGACTACTACTACTACTACTACTACTCTTACTCTACTACTACTACTCTTACTCTACTACTCTACCACTCTACTACTCTACTACTCTACTACTCTAATACTCTACTACTCTACTACTCTACTACTCTACTACTCTACTACTCTACTATACTACTCTACTACTCTACTACTCTACTACTCTACTACTCTACTACTCTACTACTCTACTACTCTACTACTCTACTACTCTACTACTCCTACTCTACTACTACTACTACTACTACTACTACTACTACTACTACTACTACTACTACTACTACTACTACTACTAACTATTACTATTACTACTATTACTATTACTTATTATTACTATTACTATTACTATTACTATTACTATTACTACTTACTATTACTATTACTATTACTATTACTATTACTATTACTATTACTATTACTATTACTATTACTATTACTACTACTACTATTACTATTACTACTACTATTACTATTACTACTATTACTATACTACTACTACTACTACTACTACTACTCCTACTACTACTACTACTACTACTACTACTACCTACTACCTACTACCTACTACCTACTACCTACTACCTACTATACTACCTACTACCTACTACCTACTACTACTACCTAACTACTACTACTACACTACCACTACCAACTACTACTACTATACTACTACTACTACTACTACTACTACTCCTACTGCTACTGCTACTGCTACTGCTACTGCTACTGCTACTGCTACTGCTACTGCTACTGCTACTGCTACTGTACTACTGCTACTACTACTACTACTACTACTGCTACTACTACTACTTCTACTACTACTACTACTACTACTACTACTACTCGCACCAGTACCAGATGGTTAAATACAATCAACCCAGGTCGTGAGGCACTGGATGCCGCCTCTGCACTCTGTTTGTCAGTCGCTGCTCCCTCTTCCACAGCCTGTGCCGGAAGACATCTGTGGCTTCAGGACTATGCATACGCATACATACCTACATACATAAACAACGATGCATACATACCTACATACATACATACATATGCATGCAGGCACACGTCCGTCCGGTATGCAGGTAGTATGCATGTGTGTATGTGCGTATTACCGTATGTATGTACGGATGTATGTAAGTATGTATGGATGTGTGTAAATGTCTGTATGTATGTTTGTGCGCGTATGTGTGTACGTATGTACACGTATATATATATATATATATATATATATATATATATATGCCTAATTACATGTGTATGTATATGTCTACGCGTGTATATGTCTATGTTTGTGTGCGTGCGTGCGCGTGTGCGTGTATGTATGTAGGTATGTACGTATGTATGTATACAACCATGATGCATGCATACGTCGCAGGCATGAACATTATGTGCCTGCCTGTGTATGTCTACATATGCATGTATGTGTATGTATGTGTACATGTGAGGGTATATGTATGCGTGCAATTGCGCGCATGTGTATCTATATACCTACATATACACATGTATACCTACATCTATATGTAGATGACCTATGCACATGTTGCATGAATGTGCTTGTGTATCCGTGTATGTGTATGTACATGTTCATGTGTATGTACATATTTACATATATCTACACATTATGCATCTTCGTGTGCAAACGGTCCTCGTGTGAATGTCTGTATGTGATCGCACGTTGGTATAGAAGCTTGCCTGCAAATATGGTAAATCTAAGGAGCAGACAAGCTGCACACGCTTATACGCTGAAAACGTTTCGCCAAGCAAAGTCTTCGGAACTTTCACACTCAAAAGTGTGCAACAAAACGACCCAATCCTCCCATATTTCCGCCACGGTGCCATACATGTGGCTTTGGAAGCAGGTTGGATCGCGGGATGTGAAAAGATGGAACATTGGGAAAGGGAAGGGAAAGTGAGGAAAGTTGAAACGTTGATGCGCACGGGAACATGAAACATCCATGTGCCATATAAACTTGTGGAAGAGTGGAAACGTGAAGAAAAATGAGGTTTGGGGTGTCCGCGTAGAGTCACTGTCGAGGTCCCGCTCCACTGAAAGCTGTATCGGTGTTGTTGAGCCAGGTGCTGTGCAGGAAAATTAACCCCTGAAGTGCCCTAAAGCGGCTTGATAGGCACGTTGGTGACCAGGTCGGAGGCTTACACCGAGCGGTCCTCCTCAGCTTCCTTGGGAATATCGTCTGGAAAAAGCATGCGGAGCTTGGTCACGACCATCTGCACCTGTCAGAGCGTGGAACTCGGCCTTGCTTCTCGACTCCGGCTTCTTAGTCTTGGCCTTAAGATGATTAAAACTGCCTGGGGAAGATATCTGCGGCTTCCAGCCCTGCTAAAGCACAGGGCTTCGCCCACATGCGGCTGCGAGGTCCGGACGTAGAGCTCGGCAGGCACGGCCTGGCGTGGGACGAGACTGAAGAAGGATGGCTTCCCAAGTGACACGAGTAATTCATCCAATGTCCTGCAAGACTACAAACAGAGCAGAAAACCATGTCTTGCGCGGATGCTCCGAAGCCTGGGGGCACCATTCACATGTTACGG